ACAACACATTGTAGTCTCTCAACCTTGATAAAAACGTCGCAAATGAAAGTGAAATTTCTTTACATTTTGATATGATTGATATTTACATATTAAGTTTGATAATCATCATTTTCTGTAAATATTTGCAACATTTGGATGTCAAGATTCTGGTGGAAACGTAAATTTTTATTAATATTATATATGTGTAAGCTTATATAAGGAAGGTCTTGAACGCATGAAGTCAGTCAAGTCATAACAATAATTAAGGTCAAGAGAGGAACTCACTGTACACTACTGTATAGCCTCGCCTCTTGACAGTGTAGGTTCTTATACTGTATACTAAACTACTGACAATATATTACAATTGTGGTAACGTTTATTTGTTTTCTATATAAATTTTTCGAATTTCTTACGAGTTTAATTTCTCTGAATTGTATTTGTGCTGCATGTCAATAAATTTGTTTTATCACTCAACAAATTCTCTTAAGCTCTAGTCTACGATAACCAAGGTCCGTTTACCTCGTTTCCTTCACGCCAGGCTCTTGTAGGTGGCGTTTATCTTCTCTTCATTGTTTGTGAATATTGATTTGGGTTTAATAACATTGACTCCTTTATGTATTTGTGCGTTATTCCACCTTTCATATTTAACCACTAACACAACTCACTAATATTTCCCTCGGGGCCAAGGTCCGTGGTGACAGTAGCTCTCAAGTCATTTTTTCATCTTCTAATATTCTTGATTTTCTTTCAACCGTTTGAGTATTTTTTGTTCTTCTAGTTTTTCTGTGCCATCCCATTTACTTTTACTGCTCCTGACAATCTCCAGGGATTCCTTCAAGCCAAAATCGACATGAAAGGTTTTTCTTGTCTTTTTGATAAGTCTCTTTCTTTACAATATTCATTTTTTGGTCAAGAAATTATCTTTTTAGGAGGGGGTTCTGACAGTCATTTCATTTATTTTACTGTTCATGAAATAGTATCCAACCTTTTCCTTCGAGTTAAAGACACTCGTCTACCTTCAAAAACATTTTCTGCGTCACAACATTTCTTGGAGTTCTTGGAGGTGAGAGTCAGGCTCAGGTTTTATTGCGCTGACAAGAGACGCGGGTGTGATTTAATATACCTGTCAGTCTTTTGCTCAGTCTTATTCATGCAACCCAGTTAAGTGAACGCTCGAAGAGACTGAAATTAAGTCGGCCTTCAGTTTTACTCCACAACCGGTAGATTGACTTAAGTTTCCTGTCAGTCAGCAACATATAAATCAACTTCAATGGCAGAAAATTCCAAGTACGAGCATTTTAATGAATCAATTCCTGGATTTGGTATCGTGTGTAACAGGGTGGATTACATATGATTAGTCTCGGCACGGAACATCAAGCGTGTCATGTTAGGCCAGTGAAGCCAAATAACCCTTAACACGAGATGTCTGGGTATCGTGTCACGGAAATTTGTATTATGTATATTACGTTCCACCGCAACATGCAGTGAGGGGACGCATGGTAATCAACAGTATAGGGCGTCAGTGTATCAAGCCGTGGATATCATGTTTCACGCATTGGGAACACGTCCAGTCCCTTCCTGTTTGAGAATCTTAACGTGTCATGGAGTTACAGGAGTGACTTGTCCAGGAGTAGAGAAAGGAGTGTTATCCTATGTTACCATTTCATGCGGTGGAAGTCATGTGTCATGGAAAGGGAAGGACAAGCATGATTTCCTAAATAGGGCATCAGGTCACGGTCGAAACGTGGAGAGAGAGACAGACAGCCAGCCAGCCAGCCAGCCAGCGACAGACAGACAGAAAAAGACAGCGACAGACAGACACAGACAGACACAGACAGACAGAGAGAGAGAGAGAGAGAGAGAGAAAGAAAGATCCTAGAATATAAAAACTTCATATAAAATTCATGAACAGTAAGTGGAATTGCCAGCCAGACTCATCCATTCGAACAGTTCTGCAGTTAAAATTCAAGATAAAGGTTTCAGTCTCACTTTCTACACATAATCAGTTTATTTCTTGTTTACGCACTGTGTACATTAATCTTTTATTAATAATGGTCTATTTTTGACGGATCTTAAGACAATAGTTTGATTACCAAGACCAGAAGGCTTATATAGTATATATTGTGAGGTTGACTTGGACGCTCTTAGTGCAGCTACCATCCTTGACCTTTATATTCAATCCCTTCCCCCACCCATATCCGGCTCCCGTCTTCCCAGCCACTTCCTCCCCCAAGCCGCTCTCACCCACCCCTTTCCGCCCTCACCGCTTCCTCCACGTCCTCTCTCTTTTCTCATCCCCCCCCCTACACCATTCCACCTTCGCACACCCTCTCCACGCCCACCATAAATAACCATTTATCCACCACTCTAGCCTTTCTTCAGCCCTCACTAGCCCTGATATTGAACCCTTGGTAACAAATCCCTTACGAGAGAGAGAGAGAGAGAGAGAGAGACCGACCGACCGACCGACCGACCTACCTACCTTCCCACCTTTTGTACCTGAGCGTATCCTCCCTGTGGGCCACGTGATCTCAGTCGTCAGTAGTGGTCGTGACAATGAGTCGTGAATGTTTGGTGGACGTGTAATATGTAGTGGACTTCTACTGCCCCGATATCATAGCGACATGCTCGGCTAGTGTGAGCTGCTTGTACTGTTGTGCTCTCTCTCTCTCTCTCTCTCTCTCTCTCTTGGTAAGGCGATAAGTTTTCTCAGAACAGTGCGGTTTCCTCAAATCTTTTGATGCCGTCGTGAATGTCACTCCATGTGGCGGATCTGCTCACACGTCGCGGCTTCCAGGTTTCATGATCAATGTGTCACGTTTCTCAGATTTGAGTCAGTCCTCGAGTCTGCCGTGTTGTGACCCGCAGTATTTTTGTTTCTTTATATACCCCTCGTATTTTACCGGAGTTATATAGTGTTAACCCCAGTTTAACTCGTCCCGTTCGTCTGACCGGCCTAAGGTCATGTTTCCGTTCAGTTAATCTCGATTTTTTTTTCGGTTTTAAATCTTATGTCAGTCTGCGTTTCCCTTTCAATCACACGAGAAATGCATAGGGAATCGAAAAGATATTTATTATACAGCCTCGTATCAGGAATATCTAGGCTGAGTTTGATAATCAGCTGTTTATATCTTTACTTAGCAGAGTTATGGCCCCCTGATCGACTCATAAATTTCAGTGATTGTCTGGTGTAACGCAAAAGGAGATGAGTTATATGCGATACGCTGTCCACTCAGACTCTTGATCGTACGATGTATAAGGGACTGGCTGGTATGGTCAGCCATTTTCCCTGTATTTTGTATATAAATTTGTGAACCAGATGAAGTTTTTTTTTTACGGCGCATGTGACTTAAGGATTTATCTGTTTTTTTTTAGTTTAAAAAATTATCTGCTTTAGAGTATAAGTAAAAATTCTGACCAAAATACAAAATTTATGTCGTGTAGATTACAGAAATAAGGTGAACTACGGTAGGTTACAAAGAGAGACGGAGAGAAAGAGGGAAAGAGATTACTTGTAACACATCACAGTACAATAATGTCAACACGAGGGAATATATTACAAGAGAGAGACTAGCCCCCCCCCCTCCTTTCACTCATGTACAGTACCGTCTGTTCTTGGCCACGGTTTACTGTCGGTTCTTAGTATCTTTAAAGACCGTTTGGGTGAAAATTCCGGAGTGAGAAAAATTTTTAAGAATGAAAACCTGAGACAACGTTACCCTATGAAAAAAGAAATAAGGATTGAGAAAGATACACATCTCTTTAATTTTCTGCCTATCGTAGACTACAATCATAAATCAGTGCACAAGTTACAAGACTTGCCTGGTGAGGTGCTGTATTTCGTCAGCAGTGAGGTGGAGCTTCTCGTAAGAAGCCTTCACACAGTCTGGGGGCCCTCCGTAGCTGCCTCCCAGTCCTCCCAGACTCATCATCGACCCCACCCGCGGCATATCCGACCCTTCCTGTGTGTGTCAACAATAACAACACCAGGTGATTCTCAGCACCCAGATATAACACTATAGCAATGTGTATATAAACGAGAGATTAAAATGTTACCTGTGTGTGGTGGTGGTGTCCCTGGCAGGTTGGGTGGTGGGTAGGTCGTCGCCAGAACAACAAGAGGAAGATGAGGCCGTTGAGCAGCAGTAAGGAGACCCCCAGGCCCACCGTCACCAGCAAGGCCGTGGAGTATCGCACATACTCACTTGAGTCTGGCATTGGCATCTTGGGCGCACTGCTGTTGATAAGAGTGGGGGTACTTTGGTTATGATGGTTATTTGATTAAGACTCAGGAGCTTTCGCTCGCTCTCACTCGCTCTCTTTCTCTGCTTTGCTCTCGCTCTTTCTTTCGTGTTCTCTCTCTCTCTCTATACCACACGTATAGAGACAACTTACCTAGCAATGGTAGGAGACAGAGCCAGGGTGGTGGTGACTCTGGGTGTGGTGGGCTTAGGGGAGGGTGTGGCAGGAGTGGTGGTAGTGGTGTCGCGGGCGGCGGCGGGGGCGATTGTAGTGTTAGGCTGGAGGAAGTACCAAGGGTCTGGAGGCTTCACCACGCCGTAGAAGAGATTGGGGTCGGTGCTCACCTCCCACGAGTTGGGGTCGGGAGGGTAGGACTTGCCCGCCGCCTCCAGCTCTGGCACCAGCCATGACCACAGTGCCAGTTGATGGGCCCTATACTGTGACCCCACCGTGGGCGGGACACCTGCAGGGATAGATAGACAGACAGATGAATTCAAAGCAGGTGTGTGGGTGTGATGCTTAGCAAAAGACACAGATGTATATACGTTCAAAGCAAACATTAATTTCGCCTTACTTTAAGGAAAACATTGTTTTGTTTGTCTAACTCTACCAGAAAACTGTCTGGAGTTTTTATTTTTCAAACATTTTATATTCATGAAATTCCATGTAATTTACACTGGAGGAGGCTGTTTAACTCTATTTTGCCAGATAATCGTCTCCGGGCGGCGTCCTTCCGAGTTGACGACTATTCTGTTATACTTCTTAGTAGTCACCTATTGTAAGGTAGTGCCTGGTACTCACTTAATCTAAAGTACTGCTTGGTACTTACCTATTCTGAGGTACTGCCTAGTTTCTGGCTTGTAGCGTGGCCAGGCTACTGCAGCGAACCCTGGTGACGGAGACTCTCTAGGCAGGTTTGGGTCCCTGGTAAATGTAAACACACCTATTAAATGATGCAAATATTTATCTCTCTCTCTCTCTTTCATATGGCACAGCAAATATTGTAGAAAGAAGATAATCAGTTATACGATCGCTGTCGGGACGAGCCTAGGGGGACGAGCTACCTACTCAACCACTCGAGCTTGTAAAGGTTGTTCGTACAGAATGATTAATATATGAATGTTAAAGGACTAAATATTCCTGTCTTGTTGACCTTGAATTTCTATGTATTTATATATTCTTTGTTATATAAAATGTTTATTCCGTCAAGAGGAAAATCTTTGTATATTTTGTCATGAAAGAAATATCGTTATGCTTCTCTTGTGGACAGTTTAATGTTTCCCAGCAGCTGCGCCTCACCCCCCCCCCCCCCAAACAAAAAGTCTCCCAAGTAAGGTAGTGAAGTGTTAGTGATTTATGTTAGTTGCGGACCTTAGAGCAGTGAGGACCAATGTAATATATTTTTGGGGGGTGGGGAACAGTAGTTATTCTTGTCTCTCGGTGGTAAAAATGCCAATAACGTTATAACTGTGGTTGTCATGTGGGAGTGATCACCATGGTCAGCGCTAAGTTACATGGATTTCATAATTGCAGTATTTAGGTTAGGGGTACATATAGGCCATCAATGGGGAGGTTACAAAAAGTACAAATTATACCCCTGTAGCGGAGTCTTGTTCATACTAGAATTAATCCAAAGTTTACGCGTTCAGATTTATTTTTGATGGGGAGGCTAAATAATTATTTACTTTTCCTGAAAAAAATAGGTTTATTCCACCTTGGCTGTTCGTATACTGAAGTGCAAAATGTGAAGTTACATCGTGTTGATTCTAAACAGAATATTTCATTTTTCGTTTCGTTTCGTTTTTACAACAGTTTATTTTTTTCTCTACACCCACAAACGTTTCTTGGTGCTGTCTGAAGCTTAGAATGGTGAACTCGAATACGCTTTTTTTTTAAGCGTTCTCTACAAGGCGGTCGAGAGGTTTGATAATTATTTTAACATAAACTGAAACCTGTTCGGGTATTTAGCTCTAGGTCTAAGAGGCGGAACCCTCACTCACTCGCCCACAAAGTTAAGTTAACTTGACGGGCGCCTTTTTTGTTCTTTATTAAGTAACATTTGCGTCATAAATTCCTGTGTGAGACTGAGGTATTAATCCTGTTGGCTGGACGTTAACTATAGCTGGACGTTGACTCTGGCTGGACGTTGACTCTGGCTGGACGTATCTTGTATTTATGTGGGTGTTAGCTGGTCGCCCTCACTAAATTTCTTTACGATAAGATTTTGTGTAATCTCGAAAACACACAGCGCCCTGGGGAGACATAGTGTAGCCTGACGACACACAGCGACGACTATGGTAGTGTGGGAATATTTACTGAGCAATATTGTAATGGCCCCTGTCTCATGAACAGAAGTATTATATAAATGGGTTATTTACATTTGATTTATATTCAAATTCATCCCCTGTAATTTTCCACTAGCTATGAGATGTCATGATAATATCATGTGAACGGTAGCTTCCCCAAAAGGGTGAAGCCCATATAACTATATGTCAGCAATTATGTAAGCGCGCTCCATGCGACGCCCTTAGTCAGTCTCACTCCCAAACTTACATCGAACTGACGTTGATTCACGTCTAGTTACATAGACGCCGTCCTTTCTCATCACTCATAAATAGTGAAACTTACGGTTGATCTGCACTCAGGAATTATACAAATAATACTATTTAATAAAGGAAGAAACTTCAATTGGGTTTCGTTACTAAAGCCTAATATAATATATATGTGTACCAACCTGGTTAACATTGGAATTAACCAGCCGGTTCAATATGATAATGTCGATAAGAAAGACAGTGTGGAGGACTCATGGTAATAACGTAGGTAGGTTGGGACATTTACATACAACCATGCATATGTGACGTTGTTGTGGTAGATTTGTGTACTAAATGGAGTTGAGTGAGAGAGAAATAGGGAGATAGATCCTGGGTTATGGAGCAGTGAGCGGACCGTCAACACCACATTAAATGATAATGACTGGGACAACAGTGTCGTTCCTGGACAACACTTCGACTCCCTTCCCTCTCGTCTCCCTTCAGACGACGACGCTCCCCGCAGTCGTCGACGATGCACAACGACAGGTTTTGACCTAAACGATGAATTTGAAATTTGGTGGTTGCCTTATGGCGATGCAGGGAAGCTTTAATCTCCCACTTAATGGAGTTTTACGATGGGTTCTAGTGGCTCGGGCTGATGGCAGTGTTGACCGTGAGTGCCTTCCTCAGCAAGATTTATGCCCTCTAATACCGCCCGAGTTGTTTAATGAGAGGAGAAACCAGAGTGGTGTTGGTGGTAGATAAATGGTAATACAGTCCACGAAGACGGGAAGTGATACTTATAGACAGAAGACGTTTTTGTGTGAATAAGAGCGACATTAAAATATTACATAAAGGCAGGAAAATATACTCCCGTAGAGAAACAGAAAGACTGCGACTGTTTTATGAGGCCGTAACACACAGACAGAAAGTAATGCCCAGAGTCCACCACCAGTTTTGTATGTTTTAGAGGGAGAGCAACACACAGGGACGGAAAACTGTATTCTTAGACTGAAACACATATCTTTGTTATTTTTTAGTCCTTGATAACCATACCAAATCAGCTCTACGAGTACCCCTAACCTAACGTATCTTAGCTTAATCCTATATTAACCTAATCTATTTTTAACGTAGCATAACATTCCTCTAACTTTATTAAACAAAACCTAACATTAACCTAACTTATGCTGATCTAACCTACGAGTAAACCATTCTAACTTAACATAATCTACTGTAGTATAACCTTAACAAACTTAACAAAACCAAACTCCACCCACCCGAAACATAGCATGACATAACCTACCCAATAAAATCTTTGTTATTACTGTGAAAATTCGGATCAGGTTCCAGGTCCGATAATTACGTCTTGTCCCTAAAGGCGATTTTTAACTTAGATTATTTTTATTTCTTGATTATTTATTTATTTTGCGAAACCGATTTGGCAGGATTACTTACCCGGACTTGGCGAAATTTGTGAGCAAGGTGATGACGTCCTCTGACAGCTGGGTAAGGGCTGGGGGTCTGATGGGCGGTGAGGGAGCCCCTGCGGACCTGGTTACGTCGCTCAGTCCTGTGCCCCATATGAGTCCCAACTCCCACCCGGGCGCCTGGATCTGAGGTGGGAATCACACTGATGAGAAGACAGACATAAAATACGCGCGCGCGCGCACACACACACACACACACACACACACACACACACACACACACACACACACACACACTGGAAATATGTCGCTGGAAATATGTCGACGACTCCACCATTGGGATCAGCGTCAACAATTCTGCTCCCGACTATACCGCCCTTCAGGATTTATTGAACAGTCTCCAAAACTGGGCCATCAACAACCATGTCATCATCAACCATACCAAGACCATGGTTATGCACATCAACCTCTCCTCCGACATTGTCCCACCTCCTTCCATTCCTTTAGGTCCGAACACACTCCAGGTTGTAGATTCCACGAAGCTCCTCGGCGTCACCATAGACAACAAACTAAATTGGAAACCACACGTCAGTGAAGTTGTCAAATCCTCCAGTTTCCGTCTCCACCTCCTCCGCCGACTCAAGTCCCTCGGAGTTCCTGCACCCGAGCTCCTCAGTGTTTACACAACATTCATACTTCCCAAGCTCACCTATGCCTCCCCTACCTGGTCTTCCTCCCTAAATGCAAATTTGGTAAGAAGCTTCTGCACCATCCTCGACACCGGCTCCTACTACCACCTGAGATCCCTAGCCCCAGAATTGCTGTTCGACACCATAACCGCATCCAGCCCATACGTGCACGAACTGATCGTTATAAGAACAGCCCAGTCCCAACCATTGTAAAAATTATCAATAACTTGTAATAAACCAGTGTATTCACTCCCAGTAAATACTACTTCTTGCACTGTCACTATGTTGAAATGCACTGTAGTTTGAGCTTTTCCCCATCTAGTTATTATATATCTTATTTGTATCACTTATGTTACTTGTATATTATTTGTAATTGTAACCCATTCCCCAAATATGTAACTGTATATTTTCAGCCTTCTGGCTGCCAAGCTCTTTCAATAAACCGTTAATTATTATCTCTCACACACACACACACACACATATATACGCTCATGTTCCACGCACACACATGGATACTGGTACACACACACACACACACACACACACACACACTAGCATTAAGTCAGTGAAAAACAACTCGGCAGTTACAGTTGAGTCTTACCCAAGCTAACCCAGTGATAATTCCCCTGAGACTCCACGATAGAGAGGCCTGGGACCACACCTCACTCACTTCAGTGAAGTCCTGTGACAACAGACCACGTGGTGTCCCCATGATGCACGACACCACGTAGTGAATGAGTTGCTACAGCATCATGTGAGGTTCCTCATAACACCATCTGTGAGGGAATTACTAAACCACGTGATGCCTCTCATAACACCATCTGTGAGGGAATTACTACGCCATGTGTTGCCCCTCATAACACCATCTGTGAGGGAATTATTACACCACATCAGGCCCCTCATACACCATCTGTGAGGGAATTACTACAGCACATCAGGCCCCTCATCACACCATCTGTGAGGGAATTACTACACCACGTCAAGCCCCTCATAACACCACCTGTGAGGGAACTAGTACTCCACGTGATGCCCCTCATAACGCCATCTGTGAGGGAGTTACTACACTACGTGTCTCCTGTTCAACACCTTAGCTCACATGATCTACGTGTGTAAACATTAATCTGTATGTTCACTGTATGTTCCTTCACCTTTCTCTAATGAAGGCTTTTGTTAAACCACCAATGTATGTAATAAGTCATTTATGTCCAATGTATATTTTCAGCCTTCGGGCTGCAGAACTTTTTCAATAAACCGTTTATTATTATTATTATTATTATTATAGCGCGTGTATCTGGCGGTAGTGGAGTAAGGCGCATACAAGTGTACCTTATCAGCTAAACACACACACACACACAAACTCAAACACGCGGACATACATACTCACACACGTACACAAACACGCCCGGGCGCCTGGGTCTGTCAGGTGGTAATGAAGTCATTGTGGAAGTATGCTCTCTCTCCCAAACATACATGCATGTACAAACGTGAACTTTGTTTATAACTACACACACACACACACACACTGCATATCGGGGATGGGGCTGAACAAAGAACTAGCGTGAGCACCATACACGAAGCACCAAACCGAACAACCGTACTTAACCAGAACTCCCCGAGGTTGGTGGGGTACAGGTCAGGCCAGGTCAGGTTAGGTTACTGGTGTCGTCAGCGTCATGGATGTTTCTCTCATTCGTTTGATCTTCGCTTCACCAAAGAATTGTGTAGTTAAATATTAAAATAAATGTGTCAGTGGTAAAGCGGAAATTGAGAAATACTCTTGTGAATACTGGCAGGATGTTGAAGCAGTGTACAGTATGTGTATTTGTTTGTGTGTTTATTTTTTATTTTTTATTTTCGCTATCTCCGGCTAGACTGGTTACCCAGCTAGTATTAGAATATATTCAAGTTAGGTTAGTTAAATTTGTTTGGGTTGCTTCATTTTTAAGTGAACTTTACAGCAAACAGCGATGTTTTATTTGACAGTCGGTTCACAGCAATCTATTCACACCGCGTGTGAGTGAAGATTCAGTCAAAAAAGTGACAGAGCTAAATTGTACATTTAATTGTATTCCTATGGTGTTATTATGGTGTTAAAAGCTCGTCGTTTTTGCCATCAATAGTGATCGTTGACACGTTATTCATGCTGTACTTGTGCGTGGATTAAAGGGAACACAAAGATTGAACTAATGAATAATAGAGAAGTTTAGAGTCTTAAGTGTACACCGACTGAGAGCTTAGAAAAGGTAATGAAAGGAAGATAATTTAAGATAATTTATTAAAGACAGAATAAATAAATAAATAAATATATATATATATATATATATATATATATATAGAGAGAGAGAGAGAGAGAGAGAGAGGTGTGTGTGTTTATTGTCGGTGGCAGAGACAATCAGCGGTAAGAGGTAATTATTAGTGTGGGGGGTCCTTAGACTCGGACAATTTTCGACTAAGGTGCAAATGACCTTATAAGCCTATAAGAGATGTAGAGTGAACTCACCTGTCCTGGGACACGACTAGCCAGATCACAGAGGAACATGAACACTTTGTTGTGGTGGGCCAGGGCGTCGGCTGCCTGGTGCAGGGGTGCTACCATCCCCGCGTCACCCAGTAGATGGAAAAGTAAGTTCCTCCGCACCTCTGGGCTTGGCTTCACCGCCGTCCAGTCTGTATATTCCTGCAGCGCCGCCGCCAGAACCTCCCTCAGGTGATGGTGGCGCGTGTTGCGAACCCACGTCCTCGCCACACGCTCGAATGTTATATCGTTTACGCCTTTGGTTACTAGAGATTCCCCTAGCCAGGCCCAGGCCTCCCAGGGGGTGAAGCCTATCATCACCTGTACCTGTCGGTGTCCCAGCGACGCTCTTCGTCTCCCTCCAGCGACCACCACACCGTCTTCGCTGGGCCCCCACGCAGGCATAAAGGCTGGGGACTCCACTTGCCGCGCCGCAGACATCAGTGGCTCCAAGGGCGCCGACCGTAGACAGGAGACGGTGCGAGGGTGAGCGGCAGCAGGGTCGTCTGGTACAGGACACCCTGCAGCCACGGCCAGACGCAGGGTGACGCTGAGAGGCGCTGAGACTCTCGACCAAGGACAACCAGACCAGCCCGACACCATCACTACACGGTGGAACAAATCTGCGAAGATGGTGCGTCAGCTTTAATGTTTTTGTGCCAGTGATGCCGAGCGTGAAGATGCTCGCGTTACCTGTCTTACAAGTTCATCACCACCTGTGTCATGTAAGACTAAGACACACCGGCAGTAAGTTGAAATACCAGAATAAAGAAACTATTAACACCGAGTATCGTGAGTACAACTAATAAATGTTTACCACTACAGTATGTCATTAAAAAAATGCTGCACATTTTGATGATGTTTAAAAGAAAATATGGAAGAACCTCATAGCGTGCTGAATCTTTGGTTTAATTAAAACGAGTATGTGGACCGTTTCGAGGCCAGATTTTACAACATCTAAACGGACAAATATCTGAACTGCTTAAGATAAAACGAGTGTGGAGAAGGAGCGACCCTGCAGATCTGGTGTGTCAGCTTCAAAGCCATTGTTACTGTTCCGTGAAGCGTGAAGACGTCCGGGTTACCTTTCTTATAAATTTATCAACTGAGTCACAGCCTCGTCTAGACAACTCAAGACCTAAAAGAGTAGAAGACAGAACCCGGTAACACAAAAGAGTCTAGAGTTTTGTTTAGACGGTGTGGGGCATCTGTCCATTATACTCGGACTGTTTCATAATTTACTCAAAAAACTTTAGATATCCAAGAAAATATAACTCCTGGATGGTGAGCAAGTTTAAGTGTCTCATCTACTGACAGTTCTTAGGAAATACAAGATGTATTTCCTTCAGCAGTGGAACTCGTGTATTATAATATGAAATCACATCGGTTAGAGAATTCCAAATATCAACAAAAGATTTCCTGATTAACCAGAGTTCTACATTATGTGCCTTATGGATATTGTTCAGCTTATATAAAAAGTTCTTAAGGCTTAGTCAGTAGCGCTGCGTTATGTTCATGGATATTTAATTTGATAAGTTTTATTATTTAGCTTCATGTCTACTATCTGAAATATTTGTTAAGTATAAAACATGAGACAAGATAAAGGCGTGTAAAGAGGGCTTCTCCATAGGGTAGGAGACAAAAGATCTTACCTTGGGGGACGATGGGGCTCTCCATGAGGTAGGAGATACAGGCAGCGCCAGTATCACGGCCGAAGAGCGTCACCCTTTTAGGATCGCCATTAAACTGTTGGATGTTCTCAGACACCCAGTTGAGGGCAGCGATCTGGTCCAGCAGCGCGAAGTTACTCACCACACCACCTGTCCCGCCCCCGTACGTGTTGAGGAACCCTGTCGGAGATAAACACACGTCTTGTCAACTTCCTCTGTTGGAATTCACACGCCCTGTCTAAATTCACCCCTGTTACACGTTCACACGCCCTGTACATGTTTACGCGCCGTGTTACGCATTTACACGCTCTGTTACACATCCACGCTTTGCTGCCATTCCACACGCCTCACACGCACCCTTCCTGACGTCCACATTCCTTGTGATACATAAACACGCGATTTAGTCTTTTAACACCCACGCGATGAAATCCTTTATGCAAGGGACATCAATATACACCATAAAAAAGGCTTGGCATTACGTGGATAATTCAGATTGACTCAAGGCCCCATCTTAACTATCTGGAACAAATAATCAAACGTCCAATACAAGTTTCTGATAGTTAACAACATTATTCTAACTCGCTATATTTTTTTTTACCCGTTTCTTCTTTCTTTATATCTGTCCATTGTTTACCTGGGCTCGTCTACACTCGTTCCCTCTCTCTAAACTCCTACTGTGCCACATCAGGAAGGCTCAGTTATTTACCATAAGCAGCTTTTACACTGACTTTCTTCAATATAAGTACTGACCGCGATACCTCTGTCATTTTGGCTGGTACGGAGAACTACAACATTTAAGTCTTACTCTCCTGATGCATGACGTGTCGGGGATGAAGTGTAGAGGACTAATAAACTTTTGCTATCTCCTGACTTATGTTCTGCTTTCCCCTGAGTCATTGTAGAGCTGCCCTTTGTTAACCCAAGCAGACTTATATCCATAGAAAGTGTGAGGACTTTACTTCCTCTTCATCTGTTAACTTTTTCTATTCCTTAACCGGAAACTTTCCTTTAGAACTTAGGGAATTTGTCTTTTCCTTCCGTGTTTCTTCCTGATCAGTCTTTAGTTAACTCCTAGATAATGTTTTTTTCTTCATTTGGGTCCAATTATTTCCCTTTAACTCTAAATTGGATGATTGTAACTCTCCTGATACTACTTCAATGTCTCTCACTGATCTATTCCTTCTCCTATTTTCATTCCTTAGCACAGGAACTACCGCGCTGTCTTCTCGTAAGATGGCTCTGCACGGCTCCCCACCCCCCCCCCTCAGTATTCAGGAAGTGCGTCTTCAAGTTACCACAATTTCATATTCGCCTGCGTTGTTTTTTTCTAGAAATCAACACTTTTCCTTTTACCTAAAATATATTTAATCCAGCCCATCCCTAAGACAAGAAGCCTCTCTAATCCCTCCAGGTGTCGCCCCATTGTCCGCACTTAACTATTTCCAACGTCTTTGAAAATCTCCTTAATGCCCCACTCTTAATCCTTAGAACCTGGAACCTCACTCTATTTTCAGATCAAGATGGCTTTCTCGATGTAAGTTTACCGGTGACTGTTTTTATGTATTTAAACCACACCTTGCTACCCTGTCTAAGGAATGTCTGGAGCATTTGTCATGTTCCTCGACATCTCTAAAGTATTCAACATAGATGGTACAAGCCTTTACTTTCTAAATCTATTTCCTTTGGTTTTCTGATTCTCTCTGTTCTTTAATCCACAATTGCCTTTCTAATTTATCCAATTTCGACACTGTAGTTTGTTCGACTCCCTCCTCCCTAGTACTCTACAAACAGCGGCATCCCACAAGTTCTCTCCTTTCACTGCCGTTTTTTTTCTCTACAAACGACCTTCTCTTTGTAACCTGACACACGCTCTAGCTCTCAATGATTCCACTTTTTGGTTCTTTTAAGCCATTTTTGTTTCCCACCTAATAATACAACTCGCTTTATTTATCTTTTTACAATCATTTCCTCACTTCATTCGCTCCTTCGACTGGGGAAGCAATAACTTACTCATCTTCAGCAGATCCAAAAGCATATTTTTCCTCTAGCTTTCTTGTAGAACATGCAGAAGACCATTTGACCTTGTGGTATAGGATAGTGCTATTGATCACGTGTCTCTCTCTCTCTCTCTCTCTCTCTCTCTCTCTCTTAAAAACAAAATTTATACAAGGAGAGAGAGGAGGGCATATACTTGTTATATATGTCTATTAATTTTACTGATGGTGGAAAAAGTGTAATCCCAGAAAATAAATGTAATATTTACAAACCTTTTAACGCTAATGAAAAGTTGGAAGAATCGTCATATTTCAAGCTAAGTATAATTAGAAAATAAAATATGAAGCATTTTATAAGAGTAAAAAGTACACGATTTTAACTAGATGAGTAACTCTCACGAGGGTAAGTGAGATCATTGGGTCGTGAGATGGCCGCCTGTAGAGGAGGTGCTGGTGCCGGGATCAGGTCCTGGATACACTGAACAACACTCGAGTGATGAAACGCCTGGTATATATTTCCCTTGACTCACGGTATGTTAACTGAAATGGGACCAAGAGTTTAAGGTATGAGGGGTGGGTGGGATCATCGTGTTTTAATCGTGTAAAATACTGTTGTTTCCTCTTTTCATATACTGAGTGGCGGCCAAGTTCATCTGGATATACCTTGATACTTTATCAATCTGTTGATCAGTGGCCAGTGAAGGTTAAAAGGCAGGAGGTGATATTAGTTTAAAATTTCTGGTGTGAATAATTCTGTGTCGCTCGAACATAACACTACCATCCACGGCTATTTCAGGTTTATAAGTTGAATAAGATGAAAAATATATAAGGAAAAGTTTCAATAAAATTTGAGAAACGGATCAATTTTGTTCCCCACCGAGGTCCTTCCCCAAGGGAGAATTGTTGTTGTGTTATTTTTCAATAACGGGGAGGCGAGAGTCATAATAATGCAATGTAAATAAACAAATGTGTTTATGGTCCGTCATAACAATTTCATCAAAACCTATAAAACCCATGAAATATTTTATATATATATATATATATATATATATATATATATATATATATATATATATATATATATATATATATATATATATATATATATATATATATATATATCTCCGTGGTAGTAGGAGGTGTGGTCTACATTATTCAGAGAGGGTCGTCGTAAAACTCTTCCTTTGGGGAGTTTTATCGGGTCTCTCCTTTACTTTGATGGATTTTACTACCGACGATTTACTCTCGCTGTGACCTCCTTAAGAGTTTTTAAGGACCATTTTCATACATATTTGCGGATCACCAGTAAGGTCATTCTCGTTTTATTGTCAGTAGCGAGGCCATAGTGGGTTAAATAGAATCTTCAGGTTAAACTTGATTAGATGAAGAGAGAGAGAGAGAGATCTGATGAAATAAATCGAGAGAATTATGAAATATTAAAAAGGGGATAAATGGAAAATATACCAAAGCTGTGCGTCTCTGTTCACACGATCGGCAGTACCTGTGTAATAAATCGAGAAGAAAGTTAACATTGTTGATGAGTCAGTTACTCAGGACGGGCAGACATTCGGTTGGCTGATTCAACCTAAAGTTGATATTAAAGCCTTTTTTTTCAAAGTGTTTTGGTGTTTGCATTAATTTATATATATTTTTAATCTATTACATTCCCGATATATTTTGTAATCTAAAGCCACTTAGACATATTTCCCAAACAATGTCTCACTTCAGGAAAAACTAAGCTAAAAATACCTACAGACATATTAAGTAAACCTTTAATACAGTAACCTAGACATAATTTTTTCCCCAATCACAATAACATTATAAGTGTCTCCTCAATCCCACGGATCAAGTTTCCCTCAGACATCAGACATAATATGCTCACTGGCAAGCCTGGGACACGTTTTCTTCATTGCATTATTTCTCTGTCCATCATAAAGCATAAAAAATAAACACACCACGTCCAGTAATGCACATCGAATATATATATATACAAACATTCCAGCCTCGGAGTTACGTTCCAGCTTACAGTACTACTACACAAAGAAATATATTGCACACAGCACACCACCTCAGACATATACACCGTACACCAGAATAAATCAGTCATACTAGACACGCTGCTGCACATCAGATATATACCACCTACTACATCACCACCCACACACACACACACACCGGCATCACGAGGTCTATCAACATGAAGTATTGTACCGAGTCTATTGTACTGAGTCTGGTTCATGGTCTTCACCCGTCTGTTACTCGACCACGTCACTCATCCAAGGCGTCACTCACCCAAGGAACTTCTTGGCGTCAAAGAGAAGGATTTGTGGATCATTCTTGGCTTTTAAATCTTTGTGACACCTTTATGAAATTTCCCTCAGGTGTGGTATTTTTTCCCTGGCGTTTCTTGTTCTCAGACATCTCAATAGTGAGGTTATAGGAAAGAGTTGTTTGTCCGTGTGTTCGTAAGTCTGTCTGTCAGGAGTGTAACACAACCAGTACCCAATAGTTAACTTTCCAGACTGAGTAACACCTCGAGGAACAGAAGATTGATAACACTTGTTCATGTTACATAAACTTCAAAACTCAGCACTGTGAGATGTCTGAGTTGTTGTATCAAGCACTGGAAGGAGACGAGACGAATTTGTGTATCCAACAATATGCCGAACACTCGATAAAACCAGAATATATATATATATATATATATATATTGTACCGCCAAGACCCGGTGGTAATGTGTGCGTGGTTATGTTTGTGTGTGGAGGGGAGGGAGGGGTTGCCTGTCACGTAGGATCATCAGTCATGTTGATGGTGTGGTGGGCGGGTGGCCCCATCAGGCTGCCAGGCTCTCCCTCCCCGATGCTTTGAAGATGTTTTTAACTTCTTGGTAAACAGCCACCTTAGAGGAGATAGTCTTCTTTGTCTGTATGTCCGTCTATTCAGGAATTAATCATTTAAATGCCTTTAACGTTTAAGCAAAAAATTGCCTTCATTTTTGCGCACTTTTTTTAATTTTCAAAATTGATTTTGTAAACGCGTTACTGACTGAATTGGAACGACTATATATACTATTAAGATAAGAACTAAAGTAATCTGGTTTTCGGAATTATCTGCCCGAGACTCCTAAGTACGTAAGAACAAAACATCACCAATACTATTCGGTGTCGTATTCAGAACCAGAGCCGGAACTTTTATTTAGAAATTCCAGTCTTAAGTGCTATTTAAATACAGAGTCCCGGGGCAGTAGTTATCTGCTGGTGATATTATCATAAAATTTGGCGCCTTAACCTCGATATGAATATAAATGCTCCTCAATTCTACTTAATTAACTCCGTTCTATGAATATATTAATCGTAATATCTTAATTTATAATATAGCTGTTCCTAAGCCTACATAACCTAGTAATAGTGATATATTCTGTGATTTTGGACCTATAAAAAAAGTGGAATTAGGCTTTTTAGAGGCGGTGCAGATACAGTACACCGTGGACTATGCATTCTATCGGTACACAAACAGACAACATATAGCCTTCAAAATCCCCCAACTGTAAAATATGGTACTCCTTCTCAACTGGATGAACTAAGGGTATCCCGGGCGCGAACCAGGGACCCTTAGGACGGGAGACGAACACTGTATCCACTCGAACCATCCCCATAGCAAATATAACTACCTTAAACTAGCATAACTTAGTCTTAACCACCAATTGATAACTAACCTGCCATTGAAACACAAAAGTAGTTATATAAATATACACTAAATCTATTTCAAATATAATAACAAAAACTGGTATCGTACTATAATTCAGATACGAAGATAAACGTGTACCTTTAAACCTGCTCTACTCACTATTATAAGCGTGGCATCAACTTGGCTTTATAATCCTCTCAGCACACAAACAGTCGGATGTAATTAACTCTCTGTATTTTGTTCCCTGGATTCGAGCTAACGTCAGCCACTCTCTTACTTAAGCACCTGGGTTGAGCTCCTCCTCCTCTTTTTCTTCCTGCTCTTCTCCCCCCCCCCTCCTCTTGCTCACCCTCCTTTTCTTCCTTCTCCTATTACCCTCCTCCTCCTCTTCTTATTACCGTCCTCTTCTTCCTCCTCTTCCCCTCTTCCTTCTCCTCCCCTCTTCCTTCTCCTCCCCTCCTCCTCTTCATCTTTCCTCCTCCTCCTCCTCCCCCCCCTTTCACTCTCTTCCTCCTTCTTGTCCCCCTTCCTTTCCCTCCTTTCACCCATCCTCTTCCTCCTTCCACCTCCTCCCCCTCCTCTTCCTCCTCATCTGGCAGGTCTCCACCAGTGTATGAAGAATGAGATGTTAGAAAAATATATAGTTAACGGTGGTCTCTATTGCCCACCACCCGACACTGATCCATCTATCTAACCTGTTTTTTGAACGTCCACAGTGGCCTTGTTAGTGTTGTGATTAACCCGTGGAGAGAGAGAGAGAGAGAGAAAGATGGAAGATAGTGAGAAAGAAGAAAGGAAGAGATGATAGGGAGTGAGAGAGGGTATGATGAGGGAGGAGGAGGAAAGGGGAGATAAAGATGGAAGGGAAGATAAAGGAAGAAGGGAAGGAAGAGATTCTGCCATCTATATTTCACTTCCCTACAATTTCTTGGTTCCTGTGATCGTGGTTTTTCGGTGTCAATTTTTCGAATCTTAAGTCAATAAAAAGCTCTCTCATATATATTTACCTGCATCAGTCAGCTCTATACATACGAATTCCCTATGAGTGACAACTAACTGACTGACTGACTGACTGACGGAGAAGGCAATTTGTCTACCCATCAATGACTGTCTTCATGTTTAGTTCTTCTTAGTGTTGTCACCTGCTAGAGGTCTCACCTGCTTAGGGTATATTCCAAAGCAAGGTTATAATTACATCTCCCAGGTAGATAAACGGAGGAAGAGACAGACAGAGTTACAGACGGATTGACCAATAGGCAAAAGGGAGAAGAAGTAGACAGACAAATTACACAGACAGACAGACAGAAAATGACAGAAAAAAATATCACCATGATTATATTCCCTTGAAGCCCAGCCGGTCGGAGGATAACAGCAACCATTGTTTACCACTTATTAAACATCACTTTTATTTCTGATGAGCGCTATTGTTTGATACGTTGTTATTGTCCCGCCGGCGTCACAGCAACTACTAGGTCACTGGTGCCGAATACATGAATAAAAAAAAGAGTATGAATGAATGTTTATCTATACATTTAAATTACTAAAAAAAGAAGTGTCTAAAATATATGAAATTGTATATGGTTATGATAAAAATTAATGTGTGTTAGATTAAATTCACTGATAGGATGGATAAGGGTGGAATGTAGTGTATATGACCATTGTGGTTATGTGAGAGAGATGGTGTACGCGTAGAAGTCCCAGGTGTTAGTTGGCAGAGAGAGGCACTAACTGAGGACATGCACGGTAGTTAAGAGAGAGAGAGAGAGTACTCACCTAGAGGTCCCAGGCGGTAGTTGAGAGTGAGCACCACGACCCTTCCGTAGGCTGCGAGGACGGAGCCATCGTAGAGGGAGCCGGCGCCCCAACTGAAGCTCTCACCGTGCAGGTAGACCAGCACCGGGTACACCTCTGACCCGGGGATGACTGTCACCCAGGGAGGAGGAACTAGTTAGTCAGGTCATGAATACAAGATGTAATTACTGAATGCTATTACAACATACCGCCATATCGGTCATGCTGATTTTATAATGTAAATAATATGATTACTGATTTTGTTTAAATAAATGTTATAAATGAGTTCTAACATCCTGAATCAGATTTATAACCTCAGTGTTTTCCTATACTGTTATGTTGATGATAATACTTTATCTATCACGCCATGGCAGCATAAGACATACTAACAACTCATCTTCTACTAGACAAAGTTATGTTTGTTATTTTCCTCCTACATAAGTTCTCTCATTTGGTAATAATGTGACAGTAAAACACATTAAGTTATCGTAAGTCTTACTGAGGAAGGTAACAGATAACAACCATAAATCACTGTGGAACATAATGATTCATACTGTCACTCTTATGTCTCACTAGCTATTTATGTCTGTTATTATTTGGCCACGTCCTAGCAACACATCACTCCATGTCACGCCGGGCAAGGTTGTTGTGCTAAATTATTTCATAAATCACGTTAATACCACACAGCACACCACTGTCACCTTACATCATACTAAATATTTCAGAAAACCCAGTCCGAGCTCTGAACCTGACGTACAGTACTTGGTCAACATGTAGGGCAAGCTTAAATATAGTTACTGGAGAACCTTAGCTGTCACTGTCACACACTTCACTGTACAGACAATGTTAATGGTTGTAAGGTACGGTCTCGTGGTAATCTTTAATCCACATCATCTTGACTTTCGTTGGGATTTTACAGAATTCGGAAGGCCGCGATATACAACCAGTGAAATATTGTTAAATGGTTCACCGTTAACTCCAACTGATGGTGGAGTGGTAGCGCCTCTGACGGGTGTTCCCACGAGGACCAAGTACGTCAGGTTCGGCACTAGGACTGGGTTTTCTATAACACACACAGGCAGATAATTACGGTTTTATTTGATAATATATGTTCGGGTATAAACCATGAGATCAGGGTAAAATAAATGGGGTTTCTTAAGTTAACATCTGCTACTCACCCATGATAGGGGTGTAGATGTTGACGGTGAGACAGTCCTCGCTCTGGTTGATAAGGGCGGGGGATACCTTCCTGATGAACTCTGCCCGCGCCTTAGGCATATGGGCCTCGTCAGGGTCTGGCAGCAGCTGGGGACACACTGGGGGTGGGGTGGTAGCGTCCAGCACCCCGTCCCAAGGCGTCGGGGTGTTAGTGGGGGTGAAGCGCCCTTCTTCTACGGGCGGACTGGCGTAAGGGACGCCCATGAAGACTTCTACGTCTCCCAGTAGGTGGCCGAGGTGCCTGATGAGGCCCTGGACCTGGCCGTACTTGGTGGTGACCAGGCGCGTCTTGGCGGCAGCTGCGGCTTCCGGGACCTGCCATGCGGCGGCCAGCACCACCAGCCACGCCCACGCCCGCGGGATCATACCACCATCACGCCCTCGCCTCCACCTCCCGCCCTCCCTCACCTCTCCCTCATGTGGGCGCGGAGGGCGGCTAGCAGTAATAGGTGTGAGAGGACTAGCTATTCAGCCTTCCCGTGTGTGGGCGTGCGGGCGTATGGGCGGGTAAGGCGGGACTGTGGCCCTCAGAGGGGCATCAGTTCCAGCACCGTCATGTTGAAGTGAGGTGAACATCACCTCAGATGGATAAGGACAGAGCCGCCATGGGTAGGTCTTCAGGGTGTCCCCAGAACTATCGGTCCCGGCAGCTTCAAGTCTCCGGCAACCTCACCTTCTCACCTCACCGCCTCACCTCCTCACTTCCTTATCTCCTGACGGCTTAAGTTCCTCCAATGTCACTCTGCGGAATGAAAGAAAACAATCACACATTAGTTGAAATTTGTCATTGCTCTCTGACGAGAATATTTGTCTCACAAACTGACAATCGAACGTCCCAAATTACCTGATAATAAACCTTAATGTCATCTTCCTGAGGGTCATCCTGGTAACAATTGAATTTTCTTCGGGAACAGACTGACTCGTAAGGTGTTCCTTAAGTCGTCCTTAACGGGGTTGTTAGGTCATCTTACCGACGGTCTGTTGTTTGTGATTAACTGGAAATAGTTTCTACGGCAATATTTCCTTGAAGGGATCTGAGTGTGTGTGAGTAAAGGTATATTTTGTGCTCTCACCTTTAATATTGGTTTATTTTCTCAGGTATTCTCATTAAAACTTTTGTTTTAATGCATAAAATGCAAATCCGCTAGAGAATCGAGGAAAACCGACTTGCAATTTATTTAAGAGGCGACTACCATGTCTGAATTTAAAGGAGGAAAAGCTGAGCGCCGTCAACCGTGAGCACATATCGTTTAGTGGTTAATTTCTGTTTAAATCATTGATTCGTGTTAGTGTTTGTTTATTCACCGAGGTAGTAGAGTCCGCGGTAAAATCGCTTCCTTGCACCCTCACCGGCCTTGCATTTTATACATTAACAAAAACGTTTTACAGAAAGTCCAGAAGACTACAAACCATTATAAAAGGGTGCGCGCCTTAAAATAAACCCATACTGTAGTTTGCAGCCAATATTAAGTTAAGATGGATTAAGTTATGTAATGTTAGGTTAGTTTCCAAATTATCACCACGTTTGGTCGATAACTTGCAGGAACTTGACGATAAATTATTTGTCAAGAGCTATTTTCTCTGATATAAAAAAGCCAAACACTTGAAACTGGAGGCTAAAGAATGGCTGTGAAATATTGCCACTCTACATCAAACACGGTCTCAGCTATTGCTTCCACACCTTCACAATAGTCATGTCAGGAATTGTATATTTTTCTTAAGATTAGTGAAGATCAAAGTCCAACGTTGATTACTGAGTTATCATAGCTGTTATATATGTGTGTGTGTATATATATATATATATATATATATATATATATATATATATATATATATATATATATATATATATATATATATATATATATATATATATATATATATATATATATATATATCACGAAAAAGTGTCAGTCTAGAGAATGTTATCAGGTAGGATTTTCCCCGCCAGTTTACCCGCCGTGTTGTTAATTTCAACTATTATCTAAAAAAAAGGCGGACCACCATTTTTGTCACAATATGTTTTTACCCACTTAAAACTAATTTACTACAGTCGCCCAGCCAGTAATGGTGGACAAGAAATTTTTCTCTGCACGATGAAAAAAATGAAGTTCTCGACCATTCTATTTTATCAGTGATGATCGGTGTGTAGGTGAGGCTACTCACCTGTGTTGATAACATTGTGCTCATCAGGACTCAGGTTATGAGTGGTTCATTCTTTGAATTATCCTAGTGGTGAAGCTTAAAGAAAGCTTCAGACATGCCGACTTAAGGGGAGACATAACATCCAAGACGGAATCAGATTTTCATTAAGAGTCAGTGTACCACAACAAGAATTACTCTTTTATTAGTTGAAGGAAAATTTTACCCAAACTTATAAGAAGTTTTTCAATAAATCATCCACCTGATAAGTTAATTCAGTGTCTGTTGTCTTACTAAAAAATGTATATAGTTGTGAACTAAGTTATGCCAGTCACGTCGATCAGTTTTACTCATAAAATTTGTCTCTTTTCCGGGAAACAGACAGATGTGATGATCCTCTAAATCCACAATGATCTTAAATGGGTGACCTGTTAGTGCCTTGTACCTGTTGAAGAAGATTAATACGGACCTGAAGCAATCTTCCTATTAGTACCTGTCAGAGAGTTAAAGTCCATCTTGGCTCACCTGATATACTACCTTGGGTCATTTACAGGTATAGTTATCCTTCAGGTGTTCCTCATCAGCTCTTGGTGTTTCCTGCTGTCTATTGTAAAGTCTATGGCATTCACTGTCCCGCTCAGTGTTCGACGAATGGTTTCTTGGAAGTCTTTTACGGTAATATATTTGTTTTGGTTATGCCTTCAATGTTATTTACATCTTCTATACTTCACACATCATTTTCCCCGACGGTCTTGATATATTTTTACTTCATCATCATCATACACACGAATCTTCTGTCCTATCCCTCACTTCACTATATTTTATGGTGCTTGAAATAGTTACTAAGTTGAGAGAAGTATAACCCAGCCAGGTTTTAAATAATATAAGGAGGTACAACCATTAACATTTCACTTCAGGTTTTTCCCGACTGTGATGAAAAAAAAAAGGTTTACTTTTTTCATAGAGCAACAATGCTTTTAAGTGCCATTTAGCAGGCTATGAGTAATCCTTCTGGATCCAGTTGCAGGGGAAACAATTGTTTGTATTTTTTGTCGTAATCACCAGCGTTCCAGAAATGAGGCAAAAGAGAAATTTACATTTAGCTGTGAATGATGTACAAAGTTTATTTAATTTTTCGTTTTTTTTAATAAAGCGGCAGTGTAGTGTGATAATGTTCAATTGCCCAGAGAATGGAAACCTGTGACAGTGTGTACTTTTGTTAATGATAATCACGATGATAATATAACGTATACAGGTGAGAGTGAGTCACATACACTGTGAGGTTCAAATCACATTGTGTAAAATAAGATACAATATAAAGGGAGGAGTTGCAGCCATGAATGTGCAGGCGTGCGTGCTCATATAACTGTGTACTCGCATGAATGCCTGAGTGTGTGTGCGTGTGCATGTGTGTGTGCGCGCTTGCTTGCTTGTATAAGTGTGTATTCACATGAATGAGTTATGTGTTAACAAGTGCTTCGTCTCTTGAAGCGAAGCCCAGCGCTGGTGTCTGGGAGACTAAGTCAACATTTACTCATAAAACAAGGAACACAAATATGCAAATACTCCCTGGGTCGACAATCCTCGTCCTGCACTCTGATGTCTTAATGTTTCATCTTCCTCAAGCAGTGTCGTACCCCTGGCTGTAATGATGTGTGGCTCACTCCTCTCTCTCATTCCTCTCACTTCTCTCTCTCATTCCTCTCACTTCTCTCTCACTCTTTCTCTCTTATTTCTCTCTCTTATTTTAGTGTTTTTTACCTTTGATTTCCTTTTGTTTCTCTTTATTCTAATCTGATTTTCGCTATATATCTTTTAAACGTTTCTCTATCTCTCTCTTTCTGACTTTCTATTCCTCACTCCTTCTTACCCTCTCGAGGTAGTAGAAAGTTCAAGAAAGAATATAATTGCCCAGAGTAGAGGAATATATGTAAGGAAAGGTTAAAATAAAAGTGTAGGAAACGCAAAGAAGAAGAAGAAAGGAGTGGATATAAGAAAAAAGAAAGAAGCAATAAACGAAAAGAAAGAAAAAGTGAAAGAAGAAGAAGAAACGAAGAAAATGAAAACAAGAAGAAAAACTGACAAAGATAAGAAGAGGGAAAAATAGAAGATTAAGGACAAAAAAATAAGGGAAATGTGAAAATGAAGAAATGAAGACAGGCCAAGAAGAACGAGAAGACAAGGAAGACAAAGAAGAATTAACCCACCCTCCCCATTCTCAAAGTTCTCAATGCCTCAAAAACTTCTCCTTTCCTGTTTCCCTACGACGGACGGTTCATCAAGCCCCCAAATAACAAGTAAACCATAAAGTTAGTGAGTTATCCACCCAGGCGCCAACACTACTGGGAGGGAGAAGGAGATGAGTATTTTACCACGTCTGTCAAACTCTTAATTTAATTACGACCAACTTGACTCCAACTTCAGCCTGTTAATCCGGGGGGACACACAATAATGATATAGTCGCGGTATGGGATTTAAGAGCGTGTTGGGTGATCGTTTTAATCGATTTTAGGAAGTCAGTGAGGCAGATATGTGTTCAGGTATAGATACTGTACAGGTATATATACAAAGGACAGGTAGATGTGTAGATACAAATATAAGTACAGGTAAAAAAATAAAGATACATGTATAGGTTAAAGTGTAGTTACAAATAGATATACAGGTACTACAAGTTCTGGTACTGAACCCCAAGTACAGGTCCAGATCCAGTATGGGAACCTTGGTTTTTTTTTTTTTTAACGAGTGAATTACGTTCACCACCTTCCCATTACCGCTACTCATTACTACTCATTACTTCCATTAGCTACCCGTTATTATTACAAATACGGTGAAGTTAATGCCGATGTTAGTGAAGTTAATACCAACGTTACAGTAAAAGGTCAATGTTAACTTCATAGATTATTGTTTAAGTTTACTGTGTGGATAAAAAACACATTAATTTTCAGTGAAGTTAAGATATTATACCGTCGTGTGAGAGAGTTAGGTGAGGCTATTGTGACTCCCTCTTGTGTTTATGTCGTCTGATTTTCTTATTTCAACTCATTAAGTCTTGATTTTAGATGAGGATTATATCTCTCTCTCTCTCTCTCTCTCTCTCTCTCTCTCTCTCTCCAAATCGAAACAAACTCGGGTAAACTATCAGACATTCATGATACATTTTGAAGAAGACTGTTTAGGATCTACAGGAAGAGACTGGAGTGGGCAACCAAGATGACGTGACCAGATAAAAAAAAATAAAATGTGGTTGTGATGGATTTTAGTATTCACGGCGGAGGGGGTGTGTGTGTCTCAAGCGAGGCCCTTTACTGTGTTGATTATTGTGCCGGTGGTGATGTTTGTTTGAATACATCTAGTATGTCATATGGCCAAAGAGAGAGAGAGAGGTGAATGCAGAGTGGCAGGCTAATCTCTCTGCTTCAGTTTCTTTATTGAGTGATTTGACCAGCCGTAAAACTATGTAACACACAATCTCTCTCTCCCTTTGTTTGTCTTACTAGATAATTATAACGTATGTCACTATTTCACGCCACAACTAGTAGAATGAAGGTAAAAAAAATGCGTCATCCAACTTCAGATATACACGTTGGTGCTCGCTGGCTCAAACATTCTTTCGGGGAAATAAATATACAGTACCTTTGGAGTAATAGATGGTAGTTGTATATTGATAACCAGACACAAAGATGAAATTAGGAAGTTTGAAAGCACCCGGTAGTTAACGAAGAGTCCCGGGATAAGATGATGGTGATTATGATTATGGTAAAGCATTTGAGTGAAGCCTTCATCCAATAGTGACTAAATCTCTATGATAAAGCGTTTACTGCTACAAGATAATAATGGGGAGGTCCTTGTCCAACACTGACTGATGATGATGATGTCAATGATAGCCTCAGGTGTCCGCTTATTGTATTAATTGGGCAGGTGTTGGACAGGTGTTTAGGTGATAGACAATATCATTACCATTGTGTGACAACTAGGGAAGGAAAATGTCGTTCGTGACCTTGATTTAATGGTAATGATTTTTGACATAAGCTCCGTATTTATATTAATTCTTAGAAGATTTGTAAGTCTATAAGATGTATGGAAACGTGTTAATTGATCTTCAGGACAGGTAGATCACTTGGATAACGAACAGGGTCTGGAATGTTGTGTTAAGGTCAGTGTATATGGCCAGGGTCGGTCAGGAGGTGTTGATGGTCTGTCAACAGGTGGGGAGGAATACTGGGAAGCTAAACACAGGACTGAGAATGATACTAGGAATGATCATCAAAGGAACAGGAAGGGTAAGCTAAAGCCTTGGAATGATACCAGGGATGATCAGCTAAAAGCGGAAATGATGCCAGGAATCCTCAACTAAGGAATGGGAATGATGCCAGGAATGCACTCTCAGAGGAACTGGAATAACGCCAGAGATATATACTCAGGAGAACTGGGATGAAGCCAGAGGCATACACTTAGAGACACACTCGGAGAAGCTGGGATAATGCCTAGATACACACACTCAGAGGAGCTGGTACGCCTTGAGGGCCTCATAAGAGCGCCTCGTGTATGAGGTTACCGCGACGCTAAAAAGCCAAGTGGCCGGGGAATGAAGGCAGTGAAGCGGATTATGAGGCTGGGGAAGATAGAGGGCGTCTGTGGCTCAGGGATAAGTGGCGATCTTGTGGTGATGGAAACGTAAAAGAATGGCGGGAGAATGTGGCACAAAATTAGGGGAACGATCCTATTGACGATCCAAGTTCAAAAATTTGAAAATAGATTCTTATATTAAAGGAGGATATACGTGGTGATGAGAGGGACTGGGAGAGAGAGAGAATAATTTAACTCACAACCACGTATATAAAATCTGGGTAAACGATTATTATAGGAGGTAAAATACTCTTGATAACTATTGATACAGGAAGAATAATTCCATTTCCATCCAAACTTGTAAATTGAAAAATAGATTTTTACATAGCCTTACAGAGCAGCAACAGTAAGAAAAAGGATACAACCACACAGGATGATTTCGCTGTTAGCCAGACTGTAACAAGCAAAATAGCTGTGATAATGATAGCATAAAGACAGAAAATTATTCCATTGCCATCCAAGCGCAACAATTTGAAGAGTTTGGTGTGCAGAATGATCCAAAATACTGGTAATGATGGGAAGAAAGTTATTATATTAGTCCAGCGTTGAAGTTGTTTAAAAAAAAATGGTAAATTGATTGTTATATAGATTAGGATAATAACGATAGGAATAAGCCAGAAAGGATTATTAGATTGTTGGAGTTTTATAAAGTGAATGATGACTCAAAATGGACAAGAACAGGAAGATGTGATGCTGGGAAAATTAATAACAGTGAATCCATTTATTGGTTAGGTGACTCTCAACCGATTCTTAATTGATCGAATGGGGAAAAGTTTGTGTTTGGTCTTAAGTAAATGTTCACTTCATGAACACACACTTGTGAAAATTGATAGCAAATATAAATGAAGTGAATTGTATGTTTGCTGGGAAATTGTTGCGTGGATTTGTTGCGTGGATTTATTGCGTGTTCTTTTTATGGTCGAGTAATGACGGTTTTAGTAACATTATCTTGTTGGTTAGTGAAGCATAATGGGCTGTAAATCACTGTTTCATGTCTCGTTTTACCAATGGGACAAGTAATTCCGGTCGAGTGGCTGTAAAAAATAGCATAAAGAATATTATCATCGTGTGTTGGTTCATTGGCTACTTTCTTACAGGTTGCTTGTTACAGGCTACTTGTTACAGGCTACTTGTTACAGGCTACTTGCTATCAGGCTATTTGCTACTTGTTGCAGGCTACAGGCTACTTCTTACAGGCTACTTGTTACAGGCTACTTGCTCTCAGGCTACTTGGTTACAGGTTACTTGGTATAGACCGTACTTGCTACAGGCTACTTGTTATAGACTACTTATTACAGGGTACTTGTTACACGGTACTTGTTACAGGCTACTTGCTTCAGGTGTAAGTCATTCACTGTCTGGCTCATAGATAGAATATTCACTTTTAGACGCTTGACAGATAGGTTAATGTGCAGGATCCTGGTTTGAAGAAGCCTTTTTACGGAATGAATATATCGGTTATGGACCTGACACACTAGAGATAGAAAGTGCTAAGTTGGAGGACGAAAGTTAAAGAGATGACAATGTTAAAAAAGTTGGTGTGAGTTTGTCGGATAACGAGATCATAATATTGTTTGTTAGTCTGTAATAAAACAAAATATATGTGTATTATTCTGAGATAAATTACCAGGCGTCATAAATCACCAGATATTAGTATAAGAGGAGTTATCTTGGTACCTAGGTAATGGTCGTCGAGGTCGTAGTAGAGGTCGTCCAGGTAAACACACTGGTTGATCACGGCTGTGGGGTTGTCTGTACACGTGAAGGTCGGACACAAACACGTCACTCCTGTAAAGGTGAAGGTGAGTCTTAGACGACGGATTTGATTCATGAACAAAACAATGACCTATAAATAATCACAAGCGTTGTTACCATAAGCTATATTGACTTAATAATAGACATAAAAGTTCAAACTTTATTCTTCATTTTAAAAGTTGATGTTTTTTTCTTTACCAATTTTGTGGTTAATCATTTCGGGCATAATTCATGGTAGCATATGATCCCTGAACAATGATATTAATCAGAGGAAAAAACTACTGTGGTGCACGTAAACAAATATGGCAACACTGTTAGAAAATTTGATCAGGTAATCTAATAATATAATTTAATTGTTTTGTGTTAGATTTTTTTATAACAATGGGCAGAAGAGTAAGTGTGTCCGTGCATTTGTAGCGATGACATAAAGCAAAGTAACAATAGTAGTAATAATTATCTGGATGCAAGGGTATCTACCTCACTTCAGTTTAGTATCGTACAAAAAGAGGAGGAACTTGTAGAGAAAGAGAACTGCTGCTTAACGTACAACATCAGTATCTGGAAATTCACAACACCTGCAGCAGATTATTTCATTCGTCAGGTGTTCGTCAGGTGTGTTTCTTCCGTAACGGCGGTGATGCTAGACGTCAAGTTTGTGAATGCCTCTAGTTAACAAGGAGAACTTGATGAGTAATTGTGTTAAGGAATCCTTGTTAGCAGGAACTGTGTTTGGTAGCTCGTTCGGCCGTCTCGCACTTTGCATCCGATCCGTAATTTCTTGACGAATAAAGGAATTGTAGTGAATTTTTCGTAATTTTGTTGCCTAAGATTCGTAATAGATTCAAGAAAATGTGTCACTTAGTTTAGCCAATAAATTCTTTTCATCCTCCTGGGTAGCTGAGTCTGTTTTACATCACATTGTTGCAGCAGTAAGTTTAACTATCCAAACTGAGTAGCGTCAGTAAGATTGACTTACACCATAAAGACTATACAGTATATTGGCCTTCTAATATATTCTAAAATATAGAGGATTCAGACTTTTAGACTGGATGTGACCCTTGTTGTTGCTGTGACTTCCACCATTGGGGACGAATAGGTTAACTCATCGTCTTCAAAGGATTAAACACAGAAAACAAAGACATTGTCTACAGTATAACTACCACAGACTTACCATAGTTAGGTATAGAACAGTTACACTAGACCGGAATAAAAATAATAACAACTAAAACTTTACAAACTGAAAAAATCACCAGTGAAATTGATCTAAACGTTATTACAGTGAACACAACCCACAAGTTATAACGTGAATAACATTATCATAAATATAAACCAATGATCTGGACAAAGATAATTTAATAAACATTCATATAAAAGCAACAAAAGATGACATTTAAAAGTGAAAAAAAGGAACAGAAGATATTTAAAGTGATCGTGGGCACTTCGTGCCCGGTGGCGAGTCCGGTGGTACAGTTTACCAAAGCATGAAAGTTCGAACGTTCATGCTTGGCTAGCGCGCAATCGCCGGAAGGCTGGCAGCGTATAGCGACATCGTTTTCCAGCGTAAATAAAATGGTTAATTAATGCCTTCCTAAAGAAACCATCGACATGGGACCAGGTTTGTTCCACTCTACGAATTTTTTTGCGATTTTTACACCAAGTTTGATGAAAAAAGATTGTGCCGTTTCGGCTGCCTAGAACAGACACACACACAGACACACGGCTATTCCTATAGTATATGAGATAATCATGGTCGTGGTTGTTATAATCATGGTCGTGGTTGTTATAATCATGGTCGTGGTTGTTATAATCATGGTCGTGGTTGTTATAATCATGGTCGTGATTGTTATAATCATGGTTGTGGTTGTTATAATCATAGTTGTGGTTGTTATGATCGTGGTTGGTATAATCATGATCGTGGTTGTTAATCATGGTAGTGGTTGTTATAATCATAGTTGTGGTTGTTATAATCATAGTTGTGGTTGTTATAATCATGGTCGTGATTGTTAGTCATAGTCGTGGTTGTTATAATCATGGTCGTGGTTATGATCATGGTCGTAGTTATAATCATGGTCGTGGGTGTTATAATCATGGTCGTGGTTGTTATAATCATATAATCATGGTCGTGGTTGTTATAATCATGGTCGTGGTTGTTATAATCATGGTCGTGATTGTTATAATCATGGTTGTGGTTGTTATAATCATAGTTGTGGTTGTTATGATCGTGGTTGGTATAATCATGATCGTGGTTGTTAATCATGGTAGTGGTTGTTATAATCATAGTTGTGGTTGTTATAATCATAGTTGTGGTTGTTATAATCATGGTCGTGATTGTTAGTCATAGTCGTGGTTGTTATAATCATGGTCGTGGTTATGATCATGGTCGTAGTTATAATCATGGTCGTGGGTGTTATAATCATGGTCGTGGCTATGATCATGGTCGTAGTTGTTATAATCATAGTCGTGGTTGTTATAATCATGGTCGTGGCTATGATCATGGTCGTAGTTGCTATAATCATGGTCGTGGGTGTTATAATCATGGTCGTGGTTGTTATAATCATGGTCGTGGTCGTGATACTTACAGTATCTAATATATTATAAGAAGGAATAAAATAAAGGTTAGAATAATTAATTAAAGAAATACTCGCCATAAGGAGAGGTTAAAATCATAAAACAATTATGAATCACCGATGATCATTCCCAGATAAATTATATTATGAAGAGAAGTGACCTTGATTCTGGTTAGATTAGTCACCATCTGCTTAAGTCATCACCTGTGTTAAGCCATCATGGTCATCATCTACGTTAGTCAGTTTTAGGCCCATCTTGCATGACTGACCGACCACCGATGTTCTTTCCATGCGAGGGTGTTATTTTTCAGTACGTCTTATTATTTACGCTGGTGGATGTAAGACCTCCTACCCTCACTGACGCAGCTATGGTCAATTTGGTGTTATTCTTGTTTATAAATGCCTTCTAATCTGTCTCAAGTCTATCCGTCCTGTCTATTGCCATCCTAACTGTCTGTTCGTCTGCGTGGTGTTTGAATGTAAGCCCGTCTGTACTCTTTGTGTAGTCAAATCTGTCTGTCTTATCCGTTGTTGGCGTGTGTCTGCCTGTTTGTCTAATGTGAACCAGTCAGTCAGCTGTCTGTCTGTCATGTTAGTTGCCATATTGTCTATTTGTGCATGTATGAATCTGTTTATTTTTGTCAACCTCCTGTCTGTTTCACAGTCTATATTCACCCTGTGTCTATTGTGGTCATTTTCTCCATGCATTCCTGTTATCTTTTTATCTTTTCTCCTTTTCCATGAGCCACAGTAATAAGTATACACTAGCTGTAAGGTCGTCTGGTAACAATGAAACTGCGCATCCAGACGCATGATGAAACTCAGCTCCCCCCCACCTGTTATCTCTAACTATTGTCTGTTTCCCCTTCTTGATTCTTCTATTTACTCATCTTCCTTCCTTTACTAATCCAAACAACATTAAAAAAAGTAGGCTAAGAAAAAAAGTGGGCGGAGGAGGAGGGAGCCGTGGGCTGACAGCGTCCAGCGAATGAGGGTGAGCCAAGTCCGTAGACTTGCATCTTTTTCCAGCGTAAATAAAATGGTTATGTAATGGCTTCCTAAGGAAACCATCGATATGGGACCAGGTTTGTTCCACTACGAATTTTTTGCGATTTTTCCACCAAGTTTGATGAAAAACGGTTGTGCCGTTTCGGCTGCCCAGAACACACACACACACACGCCTAGTCCTATAGTATATTAGATATGCAAATTAAGGAGCTATAACTACAAGTTTAACTCATGAGTAAAATTAATATGTGACAAAGGAATATAGAAAAATTAAACTAACCCCACATTTTCACCCTAAACATGACGGGTTTTAACAATAAAAAAACCCTACTAAAAACGGTTCAGGAAGAACTTTATATATACTTCCTGGAGACAGAAATAGTCCCTTAACCAGCGACTTGACAATATCCTGTCAGACATTCCGGGAGCTAGCGATAGGAAATACTCACAGATTTGAACGATGCTGAAGTGAACCGGGATTTTTTATTTATTTTTTATTTTACGTAAGCCTTTCTAGACAGTTGTGTACGAGTGTCAGTGGTGACATTTGGTTGACTGAGAGGGAAGGAGAGCAACGAGTGAAAGGAGACTAAGTCATACGGACAGACAAATGAAGAAAAGATGCACAGACAAAGAGAGAGACAGAGAGACTAACGAAACACAGAAAGATTGACACAGCAAGAAAAATCTGAGACAACCAGACGAGGAACGACGGAGAGAGAGAGTGTGTGTATTGATAAAAACACAAAGACCTAAGAGACAAGATAATTATATGAAAATAAGTCTCATCTACGGAAACGATTATGAGCTGAACCCAAACACAGATATAATGGATGGGCTAGAATATGCTCGTCATGATAAGGGAGGCTGATAATGATGTCGATGATGAGGAGGAGGAGGCAGGAGGAGGCATGTATATGATAATTATGATGATGACTGACGTAAGACATGAAAACGTGGGAGAAAATTTTGAATGAAGAAGATAATAATGACGTTATTGATGGTCACAAGACATAATAATTTGTTAAAATAGGTCAGATGAACATAATTAATGAGTGTCAGGTATGGCAGATAATCCCCCTTTCTTAAGTGATGATGATGGTGATGTGATAATACGGGGAAATTAATTAATGAAGGAAGGTGAGGTCTATAGTCTCACCTGATATTAATAATACTTCCTGGGCCAAAGTAGCAGCAGAAACCGGATGAGAAAATGGACCAGAAATATCCAATTAACGTTTTAGGTTAGGTTAGGTTAGATTGAGTGATAATGATGATAGTTCATTCGGATGATTCTCTCTCTCTCTCTCTCTCTCTCTCTCTTAGCTCGTATATGAAGTTGTCACGAGTTGAATATTGTCGAGTGTGTTGTTGGGGGTATAAGGTCTACCATCTACGCTAGATATTGTGCGCCGACCTGACATTAATTGTGTACCGTCTTGGCGTTAAATGTTGAAT